TTAAGAGCTACGATTGCCAGTTGGTTTTTGAAGTCATGCTCAATAATAGTTTTAGACTTATCCAAGTGGGAGACTGTTGGATTAATGTCTAAGTCCATAACTATAATTGGTATGTACTTGACCCGACTCGGCATGGTCCATTTGGGTTGCATGGCATCGGGACAATTGGATAGACAAGATGAGAAAAAAAAGGATACTAGTGATTTATATTAATATATTATAAGTTCTAATATATTAATATATAATCATATTATTTAATTTGTATTGATCAAGAATTAATTTATTATTAATTAAGTGATCAAAATGAACTAATTAAATAAGAACTCTTATATATATGTGTAGTGGGCCAAGTTCATTTAGGATGGGCTAAGCTTTCATGGATAGTCCACGGAGCTTTAACCCATGTAGGGTTTAACCTTAATCCTCCACACTATATAAAGGGTCCTATGGTTCATTAAATGGGTGCTAAGCACTAGTGTGGATACACAAGAGGGCAAGCCGATTTCTATGAGTCAAGTATCCTCTCTCATGGTTATTCCAAATGTTCATGATGTTATGTGAACCATTTGAGGTGTCACACTTGGGACACTAGGCTCTTAAGCTCCATGGAATCAAGCTACAACAAAGAGGTATGTATTCTATCTAGTTTTGTTGTACTAATACATAAGATTGTATGCTAGTTAGGGTAATACCTTGGAAACTTCAAGTTTGCATGTATAATAGAGAAAACATAGATCCAAGGTATTTAGGATTGCATGCACACCTTAGGAGTGTTAGAATGCTCAAAAACCATCAATATGTATATATATATATATATATATATATATATATATATATATATATATATATATATATATATCTGTGTGTGTGTGTGTGCTGATCAGCTGGGTCTTGCTTGTTACTGTGATATGTGATATTGTATACTGAGACTGCTGATAGTCTCCAAGGTTGCTAAAAACCCACTAGGCGTGCAGTTTCCCCACTGAGACTGTCGATAGTCTTCAGAGTTGCTGATAACCCACCAGACATGTTGTTTGCCCACTAGGATTGCTGATATTCCCCATGATTGCTGATAACTCATAGTTGATTATTTGTGTTGTGATATGCATGATATTTTGGGGAACTTACTAAGATTTGTTTTTACGATTTGTGGTTTACATGTTTCAGGTTTTCTTATATTAAAGGAGGGGCACGTCTCGATTCCACTGCATCAATAGGGGGCTTGTGCACATGATAACTTTTAATGATACTCTGATAAATGTCTTAAGATCTTGTAGTTATGAATTGAATAAACATTTATAGTTTTAAATTGAAAAAAAAAATTAGGTTGAAATTTGGAGCGTTTTAAAAAATCAGTCATTTATTCAATTGAACTGAAAGGTAAAAGCATGCCACCATAATTTCCATAACGATTACAGCTTACTTTTAAGAGTTACCTATTTCAAATGGCAAACACTCACCAATCTAAAAAGCATTTAGGTATATGGAAACATATACATCTATACCTACCTTCCACACATTGAGATTCAAGAAATTCAAATAAATAAATTCATTACTAGTTTAAAGTTAGTGATCCAACGCTTCACCAAGTAAAATATGAACATCACTAATAGTATAATACTAATATCATACATAATTAAACTTTAATCCCCAAATTTAAGCAAATACCAGAAAAAATTTCAATAGAGTAACATCTATAAATAAGTTTTTTTCTTTGAGTAAGGGCACATATAAAATGTATTAACTAAACTATTAATTACGAGAAATATTACCATAATTAAATATGAAATTTATTGATTATAGAAAATATTATTCATAATTAGTGCATTTCACATTTAATTATGGTAATATTTCCCATGATTAATAGCTATTATGTGTGCCTTTATGGCACATATTAGAAAATCTCCTATTCATTAGTTAAACAAAAAAAACTAATCACATACTTAACTTATTAATCACTTAAACGGTCAACAAAAAGATAAACCTGAAAATTAAAAGGAAAACCTTATAATCACAATTAATGGGTCTAATTTCTCTCATGTTGCTATGTTATTGTCCTTAAAGGACCGAAGCACCCTGGTTGAAGCATTTCATCTACCATTTGGAGTGCATAGTGAAACTTCCATTCAAATCTCAATATCTCCCATCTTTGATGTACTTTTATTGGTTTTGTATGTGTACCTATATGTACATATAGAAAGATGAAACTAGGTTTTTAGTGTAAAGGAGGTGTCGACAGAGACTGCAACTTATTGTTAAAAATTTTCAGAGAAAACACTAGTGACGATGGTAAAAAGAGAGGATGGGAGACTGCAACTTATTGTTGATAATTTTCTTGAACACCCACGTGTAGCAGCTCCAATTTCCCAAATACAATAATCACATAAAAATAAGGAACAACGCGTATGGGGAGTGGTGACGCATGCTAAAGAGATGTTAAAACATGTCATATCAGATTTTTTTTCTTCCACCGAATCTTTTGTCATAGAAAATATATGCACTTGGATTTTGAGAAAAAATATTAAAACAAAAATGCAAATAAAAGATGACCGCCTTTTAATTTTTTTAAAAAAATTAAAAATAAATACAAAATGACCAATGACAGCCCACACCAAAGATTCTTTTCCTCACTCTCTTCTTGCTAGTGAACTAGCGAACTCTACTTAGCGTGTTTGCTTAACATGATGTTAGGAGTGGTGTTTTGCTCATGTTAAGCTTTTGGTGAGTGGGCTTGGCGCCCCCGCTCCCTTTAGCCTAATAGAAGATACAACAGAAAATTTCAGTAGAAGATACATGAGATATGGAGAAGCGCATAAAAGTTTGCAGAGACGGAAGGATGAAAACGCACAACAAATAAACACATAGCCGATTGAAGAATATGATAGATAGGAGCAGAGTCGATAGGCGAAGTGGAAGGAAACGATTGATTCATAAGGGCGGTGCTCCGATTCATGGCGAAAACCAACCAGTGAGCAGAGAATTCCTGTCGGCAACATCAAAACAGGAAACCACCACCTCAAATATAAACGTTGTTCATAAACACTACTCATATTAATATGTATGTATATAATTAGTTTTTTGATTCCTCATTCTTGTGTAATCATATTTTTAATTTACTAGTAATTTTTTCCCAAATTACCTAACATCAATATTTAAAACTTAAAAGTTCAATACACATTTTTAAAAATAATGATAACCCTTTTATTTTTCACACATAGCCTCAAAATCATTGAACCATCCCCATTAAACTTAATATATTTCAATATAATATATGGAAAATACGCAATGGCTCTATTATGCATTTCAGCTTTACCTTTTTGGTCCTTCAATTTTTTTCCATGCCATTTAACAAAACAAACTGTTTTTTTTTTTTTTTTTTTTTGGCTGGTTATCCTTTGCCACATTGACATTCATTTTTTACTATTGGTTCGTAGACGTTTGAATTTCTATATTTATATTAATTTCTTTTCACTTTAGAATTAAAAAATAAATAAATAAATATGGCTCTCTCTCTCTGTACCGAATCGTAATTCTCAGATTCATCGTCTTTGAAATCTATCCCTAAACCAAATATGATGGTGTATGATTGGATTATGCCAAGAATCAAAATCAATCATTGGACTCTACTACAGATGATTCGTGGGACTGTGGGTTTTCTAATCCCATATTGAAATCATCAGTGCACCAAGCAACGCCACACACCACTCTTTTGGTTTTTCCATCGAATTTGTGTTGGGTTTTCTTGAGATTCGAAGTTCGTAAAGAGGAATGAAGAAAAAAAATACAAACAGCTCTAACAGAGCCATTAATGAAATCTCTAGGATGGCTTTTGTTTTAAGATTTTGTAGGTTCGATGGAACTTCCAGGATGGAAGGAAGATACAAAAAGATATATCGAGTTTCAATTCCTAGATCTGAACGGAAACGTAAGCAACCGAATCAAACTCTGATTAGTATCAAAAGAACGCCGGTGTGGTTGTAAGATAGTCGGTCCTACCTGCGATGTTTAATTGTGTTGTTTCCCGTTGAAGTCGATTTTGATTATATGTTCACTTGTTCATAGATGAACACAATGAACACAAACAGACCCACAAATTGATTTTTGGTTTTGTTAGGGCTAGAAAGTGTTGAATTTAGAGCTGGAAAACGTCGACATGGCAGATTTATACAAATCTTAATTTCTGATCTTGATCTTGCTTATGTTTGATCTTAATCTTGCTTATGTTTGATCTGGAATGAAGGTCATATTGATTAAAGTTTTATGGGAACTAAATTGGAATGGATCTGATATATTAAAACAAACACGTTCATGTACATGGAGAGAGAGAGAGAGAGAGAGAGAGAGAGAGAGAGAGAGAGAGAGAGAGAGAGAGAGAGAGAGAGAGAGAGAGAGAGAGAGAGAGGGGGTGGATTTAATTTATTTTTTTAATTAACTATAAACCACTCTGTCTATAGCTAAAAAAGGTTAAGGGACTAGATGATCACGTCAATAACCAAATTGTTCTCTTAAATAGTGGCACAAAAAAACTTTAGGGATTGAAAAGATAAAATAAAGCGAAAAAAACTTCAAAAACTAAAAGGGTAAAATCGAAATATATAATGGGTCGTTGCTTCCGTATATTATACCCAAACAAAGATGTGGGAAATGAAAAAACAAGGACATAAATATATCTTTTAGGGAAAACTTATTGAAAATCTTCACAATGGATTCAATCCATAATTTTTTTACAGATGATGCAGCCAAAATATGTAGTTACCTCAACGTTTGTGTAATCTTAAGTAACTTAATTCACATCGATGATAAAGGACAAATGATAAAAGGGAAATACAAGAGTCTATTTATTAAAACTTTATTTCATCGATACAGAAGCATTATGTCTTGTAAAGACTCCCTAAATGTATTTAAAAACTGAAACTCAAATGGTTAGAGATATAACAACAAAATGCATTTCCTAGTGTTATTTTAGACCATCTATTAGAACTCCCAGATAAGACATGAAACTACTTGCCAACAATGAGTTTTGCTCTTGCTTTTCCTTCATTAATTGGGTATTGATCACCCAAACCAAAATGAGCTATTAACAACCAAACGATAGTAATGAGCTCACCACCTTTGCTCACTTGGTCTGCTAGTGTGTTAGCTCTTGCATGGCTTGCACCGTAACATAACAACTCCACCCATACCTTGCTTATAATCGACCATTTATTATTACTCGGGTCCTTCTCCTCTATCCCCATCAAATCTTTGGCCAAAATGCAACTATCAAATAGCAAGGATTTGCTCCGATCACCACTTATAGTCACTGGTGGCACATCCGTGGGTACGTCAAGAATCTTCATGCAAGCGTTTCTCTGATCCCAATCAACTCCAATATTTAAAACCCTTTTGACCTCAGCACAAGTATCTCGGAACCGTACTTGTCCAATGCCTGCTACTATTACCGGCATCATGTTTGGTTGCATGATAAGAAGATACAACATGTAATCTGATAATACTTTTGCAATATCGCGAAGATTATGATCCTTTTTGTCATCTTTGGTTTCCGTTTTAAGTTCTTTGTTGTAGCATAACTCGGTGGCGATGTGCCATATAATGATACTTTGATCGTAGTCAACATCTACAACATGTGTAAGTAAGCTATGCCAATCTTGTTGCAACTGGATTACCCAACTTCCTCGTGCTGAACTTATCTCCTTTGTAGTTTCCAAGTCATCAGCGAGTTCTGATTTTATTTTTAACTCCTGGAAGATGAAGTCTTTGAGTTTTTGGTCGACATTTTTGTATTCCACATACTTGAGCCCGTCAAAAAATCCAGTAAACCCAAACTTGTCAATAAAACGTTGATTTAGGGTTGGGCGTGGGTGCAAGCAATAATCGATAAGGTTGTAAGTTGAAATAAATTCCCACCACCTTCGTCTTAAGAACTTAATTTCCCATTTGCGAGTTTGCGGATGCTCTTTTTTGTCCGAGAGTGGGCCCTGATCAGTCAAGAGTCGGAGGAATGCACTGATGATTGATGTCTTGATAGACTTTTTGTCGATCTCAACATGAAGAGATTTCCATAAATAAATGATGGTCCAATATGAAAACAAGAGCATGAGTAGAGCGGTCACATCCAAAATCAAAGCACCAAACAGCAAAATATAGGTAATCATCACATCAAAGCTTCGGAAATTTGTTTTGTCTTCATATATAAATAGAAAGATGGATGCGCAAATTGTTGCAAACGATAAAATCCGGCTAATGGCTCCGGTTAAACAAAACACCACCGGAAGTTTCGTAAAGAGAACATCATAGATTAAATTTAACTCAATCTCAATCACTTTGAAAGCATCTTTTGCGGTCCGATTTAGGAAGAAATCCCGACTCCGATTCTGTTGCCTCCGATTGATCAAAATCATATCAACAACAAGCCCTTTGAATGTTTTAAAGAACTCATAAGCATGTCGCACCATCTCCAACTCTGTTAAATTCCCTTTTATAGAGTTTTTAATTACTGAGTTGGCTCTATCCGGCTCTGGAACCATCTGAATTCTAGTCGGTAGTTTCGCCTCCCTCCTCGAATGATATTCAATTGAGAGTTTCGCATACATCGGCCCAGGATCAGGAGTTGGGAACATGTACTCTTTGAATCTGTTGGAACTAGCAAGAAAAAGAGAATACGTTTTTTCCGCATATTTTATGAAACCTGTTAAGAACATGAACATTGTCGGAATCCATAGCCGATTTTCAGGTAGTGACTGAATAAACACATAAAATGCAACAACACATTGGAAAAGAAGACCAAAAAGATGACGTGGCCACAACTCATTGTCTTCTAATGCAAAAGCTGTAATGGTGTCTGGACCACCGAGGTGCACCAAAAGAAATGGCGCCCAGAAAGCGAGAAGGTCTTTGTGATGCATACCCACCCTACTGTCTTTTTTGGCTTGGTTCTCATTAGGGTTCCCTTGGCTGCTTGAGATGAGCCCAAGAGCAAAGTTAGCCGCACAATCAGCTAGCAAATATGAACACCACAATGAAAGGATTATCCAGTTATTTTTTGTTCGTTTTCTCAAAGGAGCAACGAGAATCAAAAACATTTGAAAGAAAAGACTCAATATAATGAACACTCGGATATCCCATGCATAATACAACTGTTTCCATTTCTCAGGAATCGGAATCTCCAGCATCATTCTAAGCATTTTGCTTTCGTAAATGCAATTTCTTCTTGAAGTTATCTGTAAAATATTGAAAATCGCTACTTATTAATCGTTGACATAAATAAATTCAAATTTGCAGGTATATAGTACATATGTAAATACTCCCATATGATCTAACACTTTGCATATTTGGAAAATGGAAACTATTATGAAGAGATCAGATTCATGCATCTATTATGCCCTGAATGTACACGTTAATTGTCAAAAAATCAGCGACAGACTTGTGTCATTTCACTAAATTCTAATTTTGGAATATATATATATATATATATATATATATATATATATATATATATATATATATATATATATATATATATATATATATATATATATATATATATATAGGGTAAAGTGAATATACCTAACAACCTTATATAAGCTTAGGTACCTAACCATATCATACTACGTAATTTTGTATCATATTTGTATTGTAACCACCCAAAGTTCTTAAAATTCAACCTCATAACTTGATTGCTTCCAAAATCTTTGGACTTTTACCATTATCTTCCTTCAAATGACGTCTTTCTATCGGAGACCCCCTGGTGGGCTTCATATACTACCGTTACAAATCAAATGGTGTAGGAGGAATATAATAGTGAATGTCTGAAAATCTTGGAAGTAAATCAAGTTAAGGGTTGAAGTTTAAGAACTTTAAACGATTGCAATGGAAATATAATGCAAAACAATGTAGTATAATGTGGTTAGGTAGCTAAGCTTATATAAGGTTGTTAGGTATATTCACTTTACCCATATAATATATATATATATATATATATATATATATATATATATATATATATATATATATATATATATATATATATATATATATATATATATATATATATATAGTTTGGGAATTTTTTTATTTCAACTATGCACATAAATTTTTTAGATTAAATCTAGAATTTTTATACTGAAATGGCAATTTATTTTCCAGTAAATTGAAATGGTAACATACAAAATTTTGCAACAAATATACGACAAAAATGAAAACGTGTTATTCCAAATTTTGCGACAAATTTCTAAGTACATTATTTGCGGCATCTTGTTTTCATTTAACATTCTACAATCTACATCAAGTATTGCAAAATGAATTATTATAGTTATCTAAGAATTATCTTGCTGACTTTGTTGCTAGTGGAGGAAATTTTTGCCGTGTTAATATATTATGCGATTATTATATTAATTTGAAATAGTAGTAATTATTTAAGAATTAATCATAATTAATAGGAATTAATTTTGGGTTAATTGAAACTAACAAAATATGCAAAGGTTAAATTGCAATTGGTCAATAGTTGAATAAAGATGAAAATTCTAGAACCTCTAGCCTATGGTAAGTTTTAAGAGACTTTTGGAAGGGTTCTAGAAGCTCTTAACTAGATAAGGAAACTATATTTGAATAGCCATAAAATAGTATTCTTTTATTATTCAAATATATGGTTTCAGGGTTATCTGGAAGCTATATAAAGGATGTTAACACTAAGCTAAAATCTATCCCTCCACCTCACTTAAAGAAATCAGTTTTCTCCTCTTTCTTCTATCTCTACTATTTTTTTTCATAAGGTTTTGGTGTGACACATTAGAGGCTACCACATTATTGGAGCTAGCATTCCAAAGAAAGGTTCTTGAAAGTGGTTGTTATATTCGATAGGTATGTGATTCCAAGTATGTGATTTTCGGTTTTACATATGGTAGTTTAGGTTTTCAAAGTATGTTGCTATTATGAGAAAAATCATAGATTTCTATGTTGTGTGTGCCCATAACTATTTATGTGAAATCATGTTGTGTAAATCATTTTTGATTAATTATTATGTAACCTACAATACCCATCAGTAGTATCAGAGCCTAGGGCATTGTCTATAAGATGCATATTTGTAAAACCCCTAAAAGAAACCTACAAAATTGAAAATCCTAGTCCTCTAGGGGTTTTCAGTTTTTCCGTCCCTCCTTGATTTTTTTAGAAACTTACTAGGGTTTCCCTAATTCCCTTGTTTGTTATTTTACTTGTAAAATTTAAACAACTAAAAACTAGGTAACCTAAAACCCAAAATTCAAATTTAGGAAAAGGGATTAAGACTAAATAGATTAGTTACTTAAAGATTAATTAAAGATAATTATTTAAGGATTGAGGAAATGGTTAACATTACTTTCATGTTGTAACATCGACTTTCTAAATTATTCAGTTAAAGACTTTAAGATTTTAAGAGTAGGGTTTTTAGGAAAAACCTGAAGTCACAACACGGATGGAAAGGGAACGCGACGCGACCACGTCACTTAAGTAGCGGCTTGGTCAGGTGTTGACCGCGGAGCGGTGGTAGCTGGGTTCTAAATCCTAGATTTTGGGTCTTAGGCTCTCTATAATGGTGCTACCTTTCTAGGGTCTCTCTCTATTGGAACCTCCTACTTTAGAGAACTAAACACTAGCCTTGCCTGTTTTGTGCTTTAGTATGTGTATAAGTGTTTGAGCCTTGAAGCACCATTTAGAGAAGAAGAAGATGATCATGGAGCTTGAAAAGATTTCTCTAGCTGAGTTTTTGCTTTCAAGCTTCTCAAAGATCTTCTACAGGTATAAAGTTCATACATTTTTGGTTTAATGATTGTTTATGCTTGTTATAGATTCATTAGTTTGATTTGTGAGGATAGTTATTGGAGTTTTAGAAACTCCGGAACTAGTGCTTGAGCTTTGGATAATTTACGGACCTTTTGGTCCCAAAAAGTTGTATGCTTTCCACCAATTCAAGTAATGCTTGTTTTAATGGTCATCTTGGGTTAATTTGAGTGTTAGGATTTGAGTTTTTGAGTTGGACTAATGGTGTAATTGATAAACTCAAGAGCTTCGTCCATTAAGTTCCTTAGAAGCATCATATATGAGCTTTTAAGTTATAGGTAGTAAGCGTTAAGAGTGTATGGACTATGTTGTCAAGACGTAAACCATGGTGCGATAGGTAGTAGGTTGCCGCATGGGTGGTGAGGTCCAAATGCAACCGTTTTTCTTTTAGTGACCGATGTGCAACCATGGAGCTGGTCGCGACATGCAGGTTATTGACCATTAATATTTTACCAGTAAGAATTTTGGTCAAACTTGGAGGTTTTGAGTTATAGAATGAGATTTGAGTCTCTATTGGTTTAAGCAGTTTGTTTAGCTAATCCTTTGGGGTTTCGAATAGTTGTCTTCATCTCTTGATCCAGATGAGACTTTTCACTTTACTTAGTAGGACATTATGTTTATTGGAATGCTTTTTTACTTTATGACAAATTCTTGTATGTTTATATGTTTGTTGGGCTAGGCTTGCTTGGTTAAAATAGATCGTTGGGCTAGGCCCGCTACATTAGGTTGTATGTAGTATCTTAGGGAACTCATTAAGCTTTGCTTTTACTATTTTAAGTTTAAATGTTTTAGGTACTTCTCATACCAAAGGGACTGGCACAACATGATTGCATTGCATCGGCTTTTATGATTTCAGATATTTCTACACATATAATTTTTTGACTCTAATTTATTTAATCAAAACGATTGAGATATTATTTTTATGATTGAATAACATGATTCCCATTGTTTTTTTAGAAATAAAAATTCTATTTGAAATATGGGACGTTACAAGTTGGTCGTAGAGTCTTGGTTTAAGGTACTGTGACTAGCACTATGAGTGTCTAAACTTAACAAATGACTGAGAGATTTCTTTTACGAAAACATTTTTATGAAAAGTTTAATAAAAAGAAAAGGATGTGATGCATACAGTCAGCCTAGCTCTAAGTAATTCCCAAAATACTCATAAATGTTTTATATGTAAGCCATGTTGTAGTTTGATATGCATGCTAGAGTTAGGCTAAGGATGGGCTCTGGAATTCATGCTAGAATGTCTACTTTGTAAAGGTATCTTTTATGCCTGTTATGTTTCTGATGGGTTATTGTTAGCGTTCATTCTTATATTGACAAATTTCTAATTGAATTTCCTAGGGTTGTACAAGACTAGGACTGGATAGTCTTAGAATTCTTGATTCACACTTATTGTCTTTTCTTTTCTGATAATGGACTTAGGGTAGAGATATTTATTAGAATGTCTATCTTATCTTTGGTTATGCATGACTTGAATTCATGAGGTGATTTATCGGTGTTACCTAAGACCTTTTCGGTTTGTGAGTAGAGAGGGAAATCATTTGGTTTGTCCCAAAATAATAGTCCACTTCCAAAATTATAGTTCATCTTTCATTTTTGGTCTGTGGACAATAATTTTGGGACATAGGAAGTATTTTTCAATACTTTAACAATATATTTTTAATCTGTGTTGTGCAACACGCGAGAATTCGTCTAGTATAAAATTATTACAGGTATCATATTTTAATAAAATTAATTATGTTTTTGGACACTTGTCATTATTTTAATAAGATAAAAAGATAATATATATATATATATATATATATATATATATATATATATATATATATATATATATATATATATATATATATATATATATATATATATATATATGAGGATATTCTCCAAAGAGAATTGTGTTCAAATTGGTGGTGTAATTTTTTGGATAAATTACACGAATGGTCCCTATGGTTTAGGGTAACTTGTATGTTTGGTTCCTAACTTATTTTTCTAACTTGGAAGGTCCTTACTGTTTGTTTTTGTTACACGTTTGGTACTTATCTTACATAAAAAGTCTATTTTTCCGTTGATTTTTTAATTTATTTAAATAAACACACCCCTTACCTCACCCCCTCTGCTTACCTTACCTACCGTACCATTTTTTCCTATTTAAATAATTGTTTTTTTACGTAAGATAGGGACCAAACGCGTAATAAAAACAAACAATAGGGACCAAGCGTGTAACCTTCTGAATTAAAAAAATAAGTTAAGGATCATACGTGTAAATTAGCCCAAACCATAGGGACGATTCGTGTAATTTACTCTGATTTTTTTTTTCAAACATTTTTTATATGTAAATTCAAGTGTTGAAGTAAAG